GGAAGTGAAACTGGAGCTGGGCTCAGGGCAGACCCCTCAAGTGGGAAGTGAGCACGTTGGAGCCTCGCCTCTCCCAGAGCGCCCCAGGGCAGCTGTGGCTACATCGTAGCCTGGTGCCTATCTCCAGCGGTCAATGGGCAAGTAGGTGGGGTACAACCTGGACAGAGAGCCAGTCCATCGCAGGTCTTCACTAACGGTGGTTTTAAAAAGAAAAGAATTGACGTTGAAAGTCCACTTGGTGTTCTTGTTAAATCCTGTTCTGTAGTGGCAGAGCTGTGGAAGAGAGAAAACGGGAAAAGAGAAAAGTGAAGCTCAGCTCCAGAGCCGATATCCCCCTCCCTCTCCCCCATGGGAAAACCCCGGATGTCTAAAATAGTTGACAACAGATCCTGGGTCAGTCAGAAGTGCTACAAAAACCGCAACTTTGATGACGACGTGATCACGTTTTTTGAAATCGCAATTTTGGTCTAAAACAATCGATCGTTCAGCCCCAGTTGCTGGTTCCATAAACACACCAAAAAAAAAAAAAGGCAATAAAAACATCCCATTTTCGTTCCTGGTCCATGAACTCATCGTTTGTTAATTTCAGGTTGTGCTCTTGGATGTACGAGGCTCAGAAATCCGTACTGGCCCTGAGGTTCAAAATCGGTGTGTCTAATTTTCCCTTCATCACAGTTAAGGTAATAAACTTTAGTGTTTCTTCTCGTCTTCCATCTGCAGGCCTTCGTAGCGACGGGAACCAACCTATCACTCCAGTTTTTCCCAGCGAATCTCCACGGAGACCAGAGGCAGGTTCCCACCAGGGATTATGTTGACTTTGAGCGAGAGACAGGGAAGGTAGGTGGCATTTGTCTCTGTTGGGTCTTCAGTCTAATTTACCAACAACAAACAAACATTTCTGTAGCTTCCGATAACAAGAACGTAAAGCTTCCTCAGACACAACTTCACCAGCTGCTCGGTCACGAGCACCGCTGGATTTGGTTGAAAGTTCTCATCCTGCTTCAGGAAAACAGAAAAGCTAAAAACCGAAATGCCTTTTTAGGTTCACTTCCTGCTTTTTTTATAAGAAAGAAAATGGCTTTAAGTCTCCAGAACAGGTGGAGTTCTGTGTTCATCAGCTGCCCGAGTAGTTATTTCATCCTTATCCCGCCCTGGGATTCTGGTCGTGGCGGAAGGCCTAGCTATTGTCTTTAGAGATCTTCCATGTAGCTTCACAACCTCTGGTTCCTTTGCTTCCTTTGAACTGCAGCCGATTAAAGTCAAACTCATTTTATTGTGCTGTGGTTTGTCATCCACCGGGTCCAAACAGTTTGTTCCTTCAGGAGTTTGGTGACTTTTTATCCTCCACCCTGAAGCTGTCCAGACTGGTGAACAGCCAGGAGCTTCTCCAGCCTCATGGACTCTTTCAGCTTTACTCAGCTTACACACACCAGGGGGCTTGTTGGGAGGAGGAGGTGCACCATGTGAAAAACTAATAGTTATCAATGACATAACACTCAGTAGAATGAAATGACATAAAACGTCATGCTTAGTCTAGTTAGTTCTTTTGTTTGAGCCCAATGAATGTTGTGTTTAATGCTAGCCGTTTGTATCTTCGCTGGTTTCTGTTTTCCTCCACACCGCCAAAATCAGCACATGGTGGGTCGGTAAGAAACTTCTGATCTGCCTCCGTCTGCTCTGTTGCCTCCTACACATGAGCTGCGCGTACTGACTGTTAAATAAAGGTTGCGCAACACAACAAATCGACGACAAAATGTGTTGCCAACGCATTTCTTCATTGACTTTTATCGATTTTATCGATTAATTGTTGCAGCCCTACTACACAAACATGGGGAAGACTGCTGACTTGACAGCTGTCCAAAAGATGACCATTGACACCTCGCACAAGGAGGGCAAGACACAAAAAGTCATTGCAAAAGAGGCTGGCTGTTCAGAGTTCTGTGTCCATGCACATTAGTAGAAAGGTGAAGGGAAGAACACGATGTGGTAGGAAAACATGCACAAGCATCGGAGACAACCACACCCTGGAGAGGATTATGACCAGCACCTGCACCTAGATCTTGTTTTTACCACGGGTTTAAAAGTTTGACAGCGTTTTTCACATTTATACTTCAGATCTTCATTCTTCTACTTGTCAGTTTCTCCATGTCCATTTCCTTCATCTAAAGCAGGGTTAGTCAACTCCCTTCCCAGGGGACTGGTATCCAGCATGTTTTAGTTGTTTCCCTGCTTCAACACGCTTAGTTCACCTGTTCAGTAGCTCACTAGAGGCCTGTTAGAGTCGGATTCAGAAGGATTTTTTTGCCGTATGTGTGAGAAATCACAACATTAGGAAATAGCTGCGGTACTTGGTGCAAAACAAGGTAAAAACAAGAGATGAGCAAATATAGGAAGTAAGAATATAATCTGGATTAAACAATATTATAAGTGGCAGAGAAACGGCTTTTATATACAAGACGGTGTAGGTCTGATAAGAGCGCAACAGTTCAGGTGCAAACACCTGCTGGTTGAAATCAGGTGTGTTGAAGCATGGTAACAATTAAAACATGCTGGATTCTGGCCCAGGGCTGCGCAGTGGTGCAGTGGTTAGAGCTGTTGCCTTGCAGCAAGAAGGTCCTGGGTTCGCTTCCCGGCCTGGGGTCTTTCTGCATGGAGTTTGCATGTTCTCCCTGTGCATGCGTGGGTTCTCTCCGGGTACTCCGGCTTCCTCCCACAGTCCAAAAACATGACTGTTGGGTTAATTGGTCTGTCTAAATTGTCGTTAGGTGTGTGTGTGTGTGTGTGTGTGTGTGTGATTGTCCTGTGTGTCTCTGTGTTGCCCTGCCATGGACTGGCTCTCTGTCCAGGGCGTACCCTGCCTGATTGCCCATTGACCGCTGGAGATAGGCACCAGCCCCCCCACAACCCTATGTGGACAAGCGGGTTCAGAAAATGGATGGATGGATTCTGGCCCTTGTGGAAGGGAGTTGACTACCTCTGACCTAAAGGATCTTCTGACATCCTTTAACTCTGATCTAAAAAAAAAAGTCAGAGACTCTCTTGGTCAGCTTGCTTCTCACACCAAACCCTCCGTCAGGAATCTTGGCGTGACGTTTGACCCAGCTCTCACTCTGGATTCTCATGTCAGTTCTCTTGTTGGCTCTTCCTTCTTCCATCTCAGGAACGTTGCTAAGCTGAGTCCCATTCTGTCCTGCTCTGAACTTGAGACAGTTCTCCACACCTTCATCTCCTCACGCTTAGACTACTGTAACTCTCTTTTCACGTGTCTGAGCAGAACCTCCCTGAACCGTCTACAGGTGGTTCAGAACGCCTGTGCTCGGCTTCTGACCAAGTCCTCCAAACACACCCACATCACCCCGCTTCTCCTCCAGCTTCACTGGCTGCCAGTCAACTTCAGGGTTCATTTCAAGATCCTGGTTCTGGTCTATAGGGCCTTACATGGACAAGCACCATCTTACATTGGTGATCTTCTTAGTCCCTACACCCCCAGCAGGTCCCTGAGGTCCAGTGATCAAAGCCTACTGGTTGTGCAGCACACCAGGCTAAAGGTCAAAGGTGACAGATCATTTGCTGCTGTGGCCCCCAGACTCTGGAACTCTCTCCCCCTGAGCCTGAGATCAGTGGACTCAGTGGTCTCCTTTAATCTCACCTGTTCAGGTTTGGTGGGACCTCCTCTTCATCCTCACTAGTTTCTTTTCATGTTGCAGTTTGTCAGTTTTGCCTTCTTTGTGTCCCGTGAGAACTTTTTCAGCTTTTCTTGTTTTGATCCTACGGTTTGGTCTCGGGTTATAAAGTCAGTCAGAAGCAATGATGGTGTCTGGGGCGTGGCCAAGCCAGCTTGATGATATGGTGCCTTTTTGGAGATCTAAACGAGGTTTCAGATGTCTAGGGATCGTGTTCACTCCCCAAATGACACAGTTTTATCAGGTAAACCATAAACACTTTTAGAAATGAGCTGACGAGATGGGAAGTGCTGCCGTCGTCCTCCATGGGTCGAGTAGAGGCCATAAAAGTGAATTTACTTCCCAGACTTTTATTCCTCTTTCGCTCTCTTCCAGTCTGGATCCCGACATCGACCTTTCACGTTCTGGATAAGTTCATTTCCAGATTTATTTGGCAGAATAAGAGTGAGGCTCAAAACGCTGACTCTTGGTAAAGGTCAAGGAGGTCTTGGTCTCCTCAGTCTAAAACTCTACATCTGGGCCACACAGCTAACAGCAGTGGCAGCTTGGATTACTGCGGACATTGAATCGGGATGGGTAATGATGGTGTTAGTGTTTTTGAACCAGCAGTTCCACGCTGTGCAGATTTGTGAGAACCTGGATTTTCCCCCTTTACACTTGAAGGTGAACCAAACCCAGAAGATGTCCCTCAGAACTCCACATGGGTCAGCAGGATGATGCAGAGTTTGCACGCCAGGCCTGAACATTTCAAGGAGTTTCTCATATTTATTTAAATTTTCAGGCATTTAGCACAATTTCATCACATCTGAAATGCAAACATCCTAAAAATCCTCATGTTTCTACTTCACATCACTATCATCGTAAATCTGTTAGCTAAAGCTCTGAAGCCCAGCCGGTGTCCAGCACTACAACTGATCCAGATTTGTTGTGGGCGGGGCCACAAATGCTGCAGGTAGCAAAAGGGGCGTAGTGAATTCACCTTTAACCAAAAGATTTAACTTAAATATTTAGATTTTAAACCTAAAGTTGAGATTGGGCTTTAACGTTTGGGAGAGCCGAGATCCCGTCAGACAGAAGCATGCTGGTTTGTTGCAGAAGACCTTGTGCAGGAACAATTCCTTCACTTGCATGAGCAGCTGATGTCCGTCTCTTCCTGAACAACAATGTTTGTCTGCCTCAGAAACAAATCCGGCGTGTTTAGTGCAGCTTGTTTCTGACTGAAGTCTAAACAGATTAAGGAGCCGAGAGGTTCTCCGAGTGGTTCTGCTGTCAGGATGAAGCTCAGAGTTCAGCAGAGAGGAGCTGCCATCTCTGTGTCTGCTGTAATTGTCTCCCCTGGTGTGTGTGTGTGTGTGTCACGTCCACGGACACTGGCCAGCTGAAATGAACGTCTGTTGGCGGCTCATTAAAGATGCATACTGAGGAATCGATGGACCTCTCTGCCCCAAGGCCAGAGGACTAATCGTACTCTGTTAATTATTTAAGTCAAGTGTCCTGGTGGCTGGCAGGTGTGTGTGTGTGTGTGTGTGTGTGTGTGTGTGTGTGTGTGTGTGTGTTGGTAAGAGATCTTCTCCTTCTGTCACCTGGGAGCTGCTCACAGAGGCATGACGTTTTAATGAGGCCAGGAGGCGTCGGCGTGGAGACGTTTGAACAAGTGGAGCCGAGCTCCTCTCTGGTTCTTCGCGACTTTGTTCGTTCAGATCAGTGAGAAAAAAGCTTCAAGCTTCTGCCACCAGAAATCCTAAAATGCGGATTCCTGAGAGGCGGCAGCAAGAGATGCTGATAATTGTGCAGATTTTATTCAGAGCTGCTGTATCAGGTTCTGGATCCCACCGGACCTCCATGTAGAACCACGCTGTCAGGCGTGGTGTTTGTTAGGCACTTTTCTTCTTAATTAGCATCACACACACACACACACACACACACACACACACACACACACACACACACACACACACACACACACACACACACACACACACACACACACACACACACACACACACACACACAGTTTGCAGAATTGTATTTGTAACAAAACAATAAATGAATTAAGCCTAAATAAGTTATTTAATTATTACAATAACAAATTAAATTGTGTTAAATTGCTGGAATGGTTCAATAAAAAGACAAAACAAATAAATCCTAATCACTAATAATCTTATTAAGTCAGATTATTAACAAAAAGCCAATCTGAGACGAGTCAGAAAGAGAATTCAACAAAAAGGATTTGAACAGTTTTAAGCAGCTTGTTTGGACCCATCAGCGTTGAAGTCTGGCCCGGTTTGGGGTCTGTGTTGGATTTTGGTACGGCTCAGAGAACCAGCTGGTTCTGGTTCTGGTTCTGGTTCTGTGTATCCAATCCCACACTGGCAGCACATCCAGGTCGTTTGTGGGTTGAGTCAGTCCTGGTTCTGGTTCTGAGTGATTAAAGCCTAATTGGTTCCAGCTGTGGAGGAGAGTTAGGTGTGTGTGTGTGTGTGTGTGTGTGTGTGTGTGTGTGTGTGTGTGTGTGTGTGTAACATAAAACTGCTCCAGAATGCAGAAATATTTGATTAATATTTAAACCCCAAACTGTAAATTTGGATGTTTTCATCAGAAGTGAAGGAATAATAAATGAGTTTGCTACGTTTCCAGGTGAGGCGTCCTGCTGACAGAACAGCAGCGGTGAAACTGGGATGGAAACATGTCAGCAGAAGCTTTTAGCGTTTGCATCATTTCAGATTATCTCCAACACTTGAATTTGACCAAATTCCTGACGGCACGGCCGATCTGGTAGGAAAGAAAACCCACAAAGGTCATCGGAATAATTTCAAACTAACAAAAGAAAATATAAATAAAACATTATTGAAAATTGTATAATAATCAGAAGATAACTGATAACACACACACACACACACACACACGCACGCACGCACACACACACACACACACACACACACACGCACGCACACACACACACACACACACACACACAGAATCAAATTACCTGCTCCAAGCCTTGAATCAGTCACCACACCCATAATGCATTGTCCCGCCTGCTGTCCGCTGTTCGTTCTCTCGTGTTTCAACATTCTGCTTTCATTGTGTGTGTGTGTGTATTTTCGCGAGGACAGAACGAAGACCCCTTATTTAGTCAGATTTATGTTGGATTGGCCGTTGCAATTTGAATAAAGAGAAAGGCTTCGGTTGGGAACGTCGGGAACGCCACCCTGGGAAAGATAATTACCCTGTTTGTTCAGAGCCTCTAATTTTCATACAGCTTGTGATCCTCCAGCTGACAGACAGGAAACATGAGACGACTCCTGACTCTAAACATTGTTCACCTCTTCAAAATAAAAGCATGAAGGCAGCTTTATTTATCTAGAGGCCGCTGGCTTCCTGGTTTTTGTCGAGCTGACTCGGAGTTTTGGGCATTTGTCGGACAGATTCACGTTTAGGCTTCGGCTGCAACGCAGCACCGTCTTCTCAATCGTCTCAGAGCCACATTCTCACAGACAAGTTCTTGATCTTAGTTGTTTTAATATAAGTGTGGAACCGGTTCTGTACCAGTCCACAACCGATCCAGGACCGGTCTAAAGCTGACCTGGAGCTAGTCGGGCGCTGCTCTCTGTTGAATCTGAACATGAGACAACTTTAAGAGGGGTTTGAGACCAAACTGCAAACAAACTGAAACATAACAAAGATTATTTAAGGTTAAAACACAAAATGTTTTAAAATGAATTCAATTCAGAATTTAGACGAGTTCAGCAGTTTCCCTTATTGCGCACGCGCGCGTGTGTGTGTGTGTGTGTGTGTGTGTATGTGTTCAGTCATGAACAGAAGGCTGCTAATAAATTAGATTTTCTTCAGGTTTTTGCAGTTTGTCTTTGACCCCTCAGACCTGCATTCCAGTAATTAGTCAGGGCCTGAATGTGTCTAATTCAGTCTCAGGTGCCTTATTGTGAAATGTCATCAGTTTTAACCTGACTGGAGTTAAACAACACGGAGAAACGCCTCCTCGCTGTGAGAAAAACCAGATAAGCTGTAATAAAGAAGCTTTAGTGTTCATTTAGTTCTTGTCTGCTGGATCCAGATTTTTTTTTATTAAACTTCATTTTTGGGGGGAACTTTATCGTTCCACCTAGTCAGGTTCCACATGGAGGAGTGTGAAGGCTGTGGGGCAACCCACCCCCGGTGTGGAAGGACATTTTCACAGGTACTGGTGGAAAAGCGTAAGGAAAGAGCCGTAAGGGCAGGACAGTGTTTATGGTTCATGTTCTGTGGTTCTTTGTCATCGAGAGAGTAAGAGGAGCTTGTTTCTACCTTTGCTGACGTGTTTCGACGTCTACTGCCGCCTTCGTCAGAACTATCGCCCAAATAAATTTCACATGTTTTAAAAAGAAGAAAAAAATCCCATTTTTGTGGCTTTGGATGACGCTGAACTTGTGGATGATCCACAACAACGTGATTCACAGGCAGACGGCTGAAAACACGACGAGTCACGGGAACACCGATGATGTCCGAGTCTGTTATCAGGGCGGGCGACAGACACGGTCCCCCAGGTTAAGAAATGTGATGTGGTCATTATGATCAGTCACTCGACACCGTGGAAGGGGAGTCTTTGTACCAAACAGGTAGATTATTCCAAGGCTAACCCCAACAAAATCATTAAAACCTTGCAATTTCTGACCAGGAGACAACATAAGACTAAAGCTCTCTTCTCTTAGTTCCAATTTACATCTAGCTGCTGAATTTTGCACTAGCTGCAGACGCAGGGGGGGAGAGAGAGAGATCCCCCCCCACCCACCCCACCCCCCACCCCTCCCCAGAGGAAGTCTGTGGTCAGGCCGTTTCTACATATTTTCCTCTCTCTCTCCCACACACACTCCAGATGTAGAAGCCATTTTTCTCTCACACAGGGAAGCATTCAGGGGGATAAACAGAAGAAACTGTGGTCTCTTGGGCTGCGGTCTCCCCTGCAGCCCCAATGCATTCTGGGTAGCTGTGGTAAAGGAGGTCCTATCAGAGGCTGTCCAAAAATAGCCGGAGCAGAAATGCAGGAGCACGACTTTCCTCCACTAAAATTCTCTTAGGAGAGGATCTGTCTGATAGCCACCACACACGCACGCACACACACACACACACACACACACACACACACACACACACACACACACACACACACACACACACACACACACACACACACACACACACACACACACACACACACACACACACACACACACACACACACACACACACACACACACGCATGCACGCACGCACAAGAAGTTGTGTCTCTGTCATAGACAAAACAACTCAGGGTCAAAATGTTCTTCACTTTTATTTCCGTCTGATGGTAACAAACTGTGGAAAATGGAGCTTGATGTTCTCAGGAGCAAGAGTCCAAAGAGCTTCAAGCTGCATAGAGGCCTGCAGCTAGAGGTTACGTCTCTGAGGTGGACCGTCTATGTTCAAATGTCTCATGGTCATCATTTAGCCTGTTTTCTGTCCCACGTCCATTCTCTAGCGTCTCGCTGCAGGACGGAGGATTTTGGTTTCTCTACGTTTGATTCGGCCCGATGTTCTCGTTCCACCTGCCTGGTGTCACATGTTCTGCATGTGTCTCTGTCCACTCAGGTGTATTTGAAGGCTCCCATGATTCTGAATGGAGTGTGTGTGGTCTGGAGAGGCTGGATCGACCTGCAGAGGCTGGATGGGATGGGATACCTGGAGTACGATGATGAGCGGGCACAGGTACAAACTCCCTCAGACCTTATCTCCACGCTTTCAGTATTCTTGTAAAACACACACAATGTGTGTGTGTGTGTGTGTGTGTGTGTGTGTGTGTGTGTGTGTGTGTGTGTGTGTGTGTGTGTGTGTGTGCAGCATGAGGATGCTTTGGCCCAGGCAGCGTTTGAAGAGGCCCGGCGCAGAACCAGAGACTTTGAGGACAGAGACCGATCACACAGAGAGGATTTAGAGGTGAGGGGGCGTGGCCTAAACTCTTCAGATCCATAAATAAACGTGGATCCTACATGCTGAGTCCTTCCCGTTCAGAGTAAAACCTGGAAGATGTGCATGGCGATACGGACGTGGACAAAATAGTTGGTACCCTTCGGTCAGCGGTCACAGAACTAAGTGAAATCTGACAAAAGTAATAAAAATAAAAATTCTATGAATGTAACCAGTGAAAGTCAGACGTTAGTGTTCAAACGCGCTTCAACGGAATAATTTAAAAACATGAACTCATGGAACAGGCCTGGACAAACATGAGGGTAACCCCAACTTAATACTTTGTCGCACAACCTTTTGAGGAAATCACTGCAGTCAAACCATTCCTGTCCATGAGACTTCTGCAGCAGGTATTTTGGCCCAGTCCTCATGAGCAAAGAGCTCCAGTTGTCTCAGGTTGTCCAGAAGACATGTAGTGACATGAAGTCAGGGCTCACAGAAGGCTACTTTAGAGCAGTCTGATGTTTTCCTCTGAGCCAGTCTTGGGTGTTAGCTGTGGGTTGTTGTCCTGTTGCCAGACCCGTGACCTGCCACTGACACCAAGCTTTCTGGCACCGGCCAGCACCTTTCTCTCTAGATTTCCTTGATAGTCTTCAGATTTCATCGTACCCTGCACAGATTCAGGACACCCTGTGGTAGATGCAGCAAAGCAGCCCAGAACATAACGCAGCCTCCTCCGTGTTCATCAGTAGAGACGGTGTTCTTTTCTTCATATGCTTCCTTTTGTCCTCTTTGAACATAGAGCTGATGTGCCGTCTTTGACACATCTGTCCACAGGACACTCTCCCAGAGGCTTGGTGGCTTGTCCACATGTAGTTTGGCATATCTGGCTATAGTCTGGCTTTTTTATGATTTGTTTTCAATGATGGTGTCCTTCTTGGTCGTCTCCCATGTCTCCACTTTGGCTCAAACGACAAATGGTGCGATCTGACACTGATGTTCCGTGAGCTTGAAGTTCACCTAGGAGTTTTTCTGGGCTCATCTGGATTATCACGTCTCTTTGATTTGTCAGTAATGTTCCTCCTGCGGCCACGTCCAGGGAGGTTGGCTGCAGTCCCATGGATCAGAAATTTCTGAATAACACGAGCAGCTGTAGTCACAGGATCATCTAGCTGCTTGGAGGTGGTCTTACGTCCTGTACCTTTAACATGCTTGTCTAGAATGTTCTTTCTAATCTCCTGAGAAGACTCTCCTTGGCTTCCTCTGGTCCACGTTGGGTGTGGTAACCACCGTGTCACCAGACAGCACAGTGACTAGCTGGAGCTCACCGACTGATACAAGGCTTGTATCACCTTGAATGAACATGTCTCTGTCACATTACCGTATTTTCCGGACTATAAGTCGCACTTTTTTTCATAGTCTGGCTGGTCCGGCGACTTATATACCAAAGTGACTTATATACCAAATTATGTATACCGCGCCGCTGTGGGCCGGCTCCGGACCAGGAATGAGCTCCCCTGCCCCGCCATCACCTGCTGGAGACCGTGGCGCGCTGCTGCGTACCGCTGATGCAACAGCTGGTTGTTTATTCTGTTATTGTTACCGGTACTTGTCTTGCAATGTGAAACGCTTGGTCTCAGATTTTGTAAGAAAAATAATAAAATTTCACCCCAAAATGCGACTTATTTATGTTTTTTTCTTCTTCATTATAAATTTTATGGCTGGTGCGACTTATACTCCGGAAAATACGGTACTTAGTCTTGTCTAGGGGAACCATCATTTTTATCCAGACCTGTTCCATGACTTATCTTATTCCGTTGAAGCATGGTTGAAAAACAATGTCGGACTTTCACTGGTTGCATGTTATGGATAGTTTTTATCAGACTGGAGTTGTTTCTGGGACCACCATGGGTTTTTCTTTCACTGACCGAAGGGTACCAACTATTTTGTCCACGTCTGTATTTAGCTTAACATCCAGGATCTCACCGGGACGCCACTGTTGGTGACGAAAAACAAATCACAAGAAAAAAGTGGGTCCGGCTGTCCTCCATCCTACTCCCACCATCACTCTGGAACAGGACACCAGGATAACTCAGGATTATTTCCTTTCCCAACATTCCCAAGTGTTTCCACATCTTCTGTTATTTTGTCACCAACAGTCTCACTGAGATTCTGACTGCAGCTTTAATTCAGTTTAATACGAACACAGAAGCTTTGGTAACACTTTACAATAAGCAGGGTGTCCGCGGGTCCTTAAAAAGTCTTAAATTTTCTTTTCCAAATTTAAGGCCTTGAAAATCCTTAAAAATGACAAATAATCCTTAAATACAGTTTCCAAAGGTCTTAAATTACCAAAGACCCAATAAACAAGATTCTTTTATTTCTATAAAATTTTCGTGAATTTCTAGTTGGTGTTAAGCATTTTTTGTGTACGATGTTGGCGTAAGTGGAACCGTGCACGTTCAGTTGGTTGTGAAAGGGGGCTACTTTTAGATGAGCACGTTAGCTGGTTAAGCTAGTGGGAGCTTCCGCCATGGGGAAGTGCAAGTTTAATGGTAACCGGATGGCTAATCCCACGTTTGCGACGTGGTTAGCATCGGTTCCAGGCAATAGCTGGAAATTATAGCTTAAATTAAATTAAAAATATAGCTTAAATTTGGTCAAAGTGGCCTTAAAAAAGGTCTTAAAAAGTCTTAAATTTGGCTCCCTTCAACCTGCATATACCCTGATAAGGGTCCCTGTATTAACGTTACTTAATGCTTTATTAAGCATTAATAAACACAGGATTCCTTTATTAACATTCCCAAAAAGCAGTACTTTGCAACAGTTTCCTATTTTTAAATCATTTTCTTGAGCCAGTATGTGCTATATTTATCCCTTACAGGGTTAATGAAAGGCCACCCAGCCATCGTCACCCCTGTGGACAGAATATTCCACTCTGGTCAGAAAAGTGGAGCTGACACAACTGGTTCTGCTAAAGCGAGCCAGAACTGCCGGGTCTCCCTCTGTGTCAGTAGCACTTTGCCTGCCTGCTCTACAGATTATTAGAGCATATCTAAAGTCCCTACAACTGCATTACTTAATATTAACATTAATATGAAGCTGTTAACACTTTATTAGTTTATTAATGCGTAATAAAGCACTAAGTAATGGTAATAAGATAAGTCCAGCTCTTAGCTTGCCTAACCCTAAACCTAACCAGCTCAGTGGCCTAGTAGAGTGTCCCCCTGTGACCGGAAGATCGGGGTTCGAATCCCGGTCGGGTCAGACTAAAGACCTGAACAACAGGACCCAACGCCTCCCTGCTTGACACTCAGCTTTAAGGGGTTGGATGGGGGGGGGGGGGGGGGCTCCAACACAGCCACTGCTCCCCATGGGGAGGGGCCAGTTGTGGAGAACAAAGAAGTTTTGTAATAAGGGGACCCTGTTTGTAAAGTGCTACCAAAGCTTTAGATCACATTTCTTCTGAACCTCAGACTTTTATGGCGTGAGATGTTTTTAGATTCTGCTCCAGACTTCTCCTCGCTCTGCTCAGCGGGTGGTGTGACGTGTGCTTGTGTGCTTTGTTCTATAAAGCGTAGTTGGAGTGTAAATTCTAGGTTTAGTGCATGATCAGTTTGATGAACTCAGATTTGATTTGATGAATATTTGAATGACTGAATCGGTTTTGTCGGGTGTCCTGAAAGCCTCAGAGGGGAAAGTAGTTCAATCAGCTCTGATGCGCTCAATAACATTAACAGCAGCTGATTATTTGTCCAAACAGACGGGTTTCAAATGCTTTTCTGTGATTTGATGCCGCAGATTGTTTAGTTGCGAGCCCAGAGCGATGAAACAAACTAACTTTCCCACAAGGCTTTGGGGGCGGAGCATCCTTCGCTCAGTTGAATGAAACCAAATTGTTTATTTTTTAGGACCCTGTGGTTTCTAAAATCTGGGACTGATGACACACAGCCAGCCAGCAGAAAGAACAGGGTCTGTGTCCTTCACTTCTCACCATCTATCACCCTGTCATGCACTAAACCACCTCCTGTGTGCATGCGTGCGTGCATGTGTGTGTGTGTGTGTGTGTGTGTGTGTGTTCGCGCGCGCGTGTGTATTTCCTCTCTTTGTCTGTCGATGGTGCAAGAAGCTGTGTTTTTGCACTTTTTGCCTTTCTGCTTGTTTGTGAAGTGCATGCACATGCGATGTTTAAATGTGAAAATGTTTTATCATTTGACAAAAGCATCAGGAGATGAGCCTGTTTCCATGGTTACGGTGCATAAACACATGAGGAAAAGTCCTCCAGGACAGCCTTTTAAAGCTGCAGCAGCAAATCTGGAAAGCAAATGAGCTTCAAACTTTTTTCATGCCTCTTAACAACGTTCTAACATAGTTTAGCTATAAATATAGTGTGGAGAACGGAAAAAAGGATAAAGTGGTTCTCTCACATTTGGCTAAAAACCTCCACCAACAACATACTTCGGACCAAAAGCAGCCTTTGGACCATCCGGTTGTCGGGACGACCGCCGTGAGCACGTTTGTGTTGTTGCAGCTTTACGTCATCATCCTATCAAACGTGAAATCCAAACCACATCCAGAAGATGAAGAATCCGTTCATGACGACGGCAAATGAAACTAAACGATTCATTATTTTATTTTTAGCATCAATAAAAAAAACTGGAGTAATAAACTCTCCAAACTCACGAGACCAGTTCCTACAGAGAGAAAGAGAAGAGGGCGAGCTGTCAGCTGAAGGTCATCTTTCATCCGACTGATCTCATGCCCCCCCCCACACACACACACACACACACACCGTCTCTTTCTTTGGATCGATAAAAGTCCCGCTCTATTCTCTAAATCTGCTTAAATCTGCTCTGGGCTGGCGGACGGTGTGGTTCCACGCATCGGTGCTTTTCAGAAAATACTTCAGCTCCAAATGAAAAACTTTATTACAAAAATTTGTTCAGGTAGCTTTTATTTTATCCTCCCTTCTGGATGACATCACTTCCTCTCTTGTGAACACTAAACTGCATGTATGAAAAAGCAGAACAAGATGGTAGAATGAAAGGAAAACACAGAGGCAACACTCATTTCTACTTCCAAGCATCCTAAAAAATTTGTTTTTCTCCCCCACTGAGTTCCTGTTTGGACTTCCAGGCTCCCGTAGAAGCTGCTCTCTGCTTTTGTAGCAGCTCATGTTTACATGTGATTGACAAAAATTTAATAGAAATAATGCCTCCTTACCGTGGTGGAGGGTTTTGAGTGTCCCAATGATCCAAGGGGCGACGTTGTCTCTGGTAGGGTCACCCATGGCAAACAGGTCCTAGGTGGGGGATCAGACAGAGTCAGCCCATAGATCCCTTATGAAGACAAACATTAATGGAAACAGATGTTCCCTCACCCAGACATGGGTCACCGAGGGATGGGCCAGACACGGAGGACGATTTTCACCACACCACACCACACCAGTGTGTGTGACAACTATTGGACTTTAATCTTTTAATCTGACTTTAGAGAGCGCTCCTTCTGGTGACTCCCTCATTCTTCTGGGGTACTTTCACGCTCACGAGGACATTGAGACCTGAAGAGATGTGGTTGGGAGGAAAGGCCCCCTGATCTGAATCCAAGTGGTGTTTTGTTATCTGACTAGTCATGGATTGTCCTTAATGAACACCATGTTCAGACATAAAGGTGTCCATATGTGCTCTTGGCACCAGGACACCTTGGGCACTGATGAAGACAGGGGAGGAGCTTTCACCTGAGCACTAACTGGAGGTGAGTTGGCTTTGATGGTGGGGGAGGACGCTGGGAACATCTGGCACAGTCTCCTGTCAGAAAAAGTTTCAATTCCCACCTCCGACAGAACTTCCAAAACATTCCGGGGGAGGCGGGGGTCATCGAGTCCAAGTGGGCCTGTTCCGTGCTTCTATTTCTGAGGCGGCTGACCAGAGCTGCAGCTGCAGTGTCGTCGGTGCCTGTCATGGTGGCAATCCCTGAACCTCCTGGTGGACACCTCCTGCTAGAGATGCGGTCAAGCTGAAGAAAGTGTCACACCCAGAAATGTCCAGACCTATCAGGTCTTTTTGGGCCATGGGACTCCAGAGGCAGCTGATGGGTACCGGCAGTCCAAGTGGAATGTGGCTCAGGTGATCACGGAGGCAAAAACCCGGGCGTGGGATGAGTTGGTTGAGACACGTGTGAGTTTTTAGTGATATCCTGCAGTTCTGAGGTCTCTCTCTGGGTGTGACTGAGGCGTTTTGCTGAATAGCTTCATAGGCTTCTGAGTTCCCCCCTCCATCTGTGTGGCTTGATGGCTGCTGATCCACTCATCTGTTTGTGACCCACAGAAACCCTCAGGAGGAAAGACCAGGCTACTGGTTTAATACCATTTAGTTTCGTAGCTGTGAAAAAGCTTTAAAGTTTAGAAAAACAATATTTTTCCTATAAAACCTTTTTTTTTTATAAACGTGTTGCCAAATATGAATAAAGAGTAAAGATATGAAATAACCATACCCAAAGGTTCTGGTACCTGAAAGCTAAAAGTAATGAGCTCTTTTGTTCTGAAATCAGTTAAAGGATCCGGGTTTTGTCTGAAACGACACAAACGCTCAGCAGCAAAACCTTCGGATGCTCACCAATCATAAACAGTTTGCATTTTTAATCCCAAAGTCCCGACGTTTAACTCAGAAGACTTTTCATCTAAAATCAGACGTTCCAATTATCCAAGGTCAGAAGGTGCCTGTCAGCATGATGGATGGAGGAGCGATGAATCCAGATAACATCTGAACTCTAAAGGAAATCTCTCTCGTGCAGGATTTCAGCAGAGAGACGGTGAATGATGAGTCAGCCCTGAAAGCATTAATATGTCATTAGCATTGATCGCTAACAGCCCCCCCCCCCCCCCCCCCCCCCCGCCCCAGTTCGCAAACCAGTTCAAACCTGCAGGAGCAGCAAATCTGTTCCAAGTGCTTACACACACGCACGCACCACGCATGCACACACACACACACACTCCTGGGCTGTATTGAGTTGTGGTTTAGCAGCCTCTGGCAACCCTCCAGGCATCCATTTGTCTCCGGGTCGATACAGAACGCTCTCCAGCCTCGATGATTAGCATCAGCCACGCCCAGACCCACCAAACTGATCAGGACCTTCTCAAACACGAGTCCAAACTAGATAAATTGCATTAATTGCAGAAATGCTGTTTGAATGCTGGATGCTGAATAGCAGAGCTGAAGCTGAAACTAAGCGAAAGTGTCAAACTGAGCTGAATGTATTTAAAGATTTAGAAGCAAAGTGCAAGAAGAAGTATAATAAAGCCCAATAAGTACGCATGGAGACAAATGTTCTAACCAGCAGAAAACTGAAGTCTCTGAACATGAAGAAACTAGACAGCTGAAATGTTTAAACACCTGGTATTAGAGCAGGACTAGTTCAAAGTGCGTCTTCCAGTTAAAGTATCTTTCCGAGTATTTCTTTTATCCGAAGGCGCCATCTAGTGGCTGACAAGCATATCACACAAAAAGTCTGTCGCTCTGTTTTTTTAAGATGGCGACTTCACGTTTCTGTTCATAAATGTGCTTCTGCAGCGACAAACAGCTAAAACACGTTGTTTACGAGTATTATTCTCATGTCATGTTGTGTTTTCGTGTATTTATATTTTAGGGACTTACTTGTCCGTGAAAAGTTCATCAACTCTGCATCAACTGAGGTATTCCTTACATTTGAAGCAAATAAGCGATAGTCTAACGCTATTGGTTAGTTCTGGTTGGCGCTCAGTTCCCTATTGCCCGGAGCTCTGCAGGGCGGGGGCGTGCTTGGCGAAAATAAAATAAAAAAGCACACTTATTGCTTATATTATACTGTATACTATATTACATTGTACATGATAAGATAATCACTTTTACGGATTTCTGAAAAATCGCACATCATTTCTGAAAGAGGAAAACTCAGGAAAGCTGCTTTAAACACATGTTGAATTGTTTACAGCATTCAACTATAGTGATCCTGTGTCTTTAGAAAATAAAGTAGTGTGCCGCCGTCGCCCATGGTGAACACCAGCAGGTTTTAGGAATCGGCACCAATAAGATGCATTCAGTGGCATCGCCTTTTACACGGTGGTACATTTCCCAGGAATGTTGGATCCAGACCAACTAAAAAGTCTCCATCAGACTAACGGATCAGATTGAGCAGCTTTAGTATAAATAAATGTAAATGTCACCAGAGTTTCAGCCACAGTACAGATGCATGAAAACAAGGTGAAAAGATGGTTCTTACTGAACCCTGGGGAACGTCATCAAATAATGTAATAAAGACCAAAAAGTTATGGCTGCGTGACGTGGATCTTCTCTGGGGAGGGAAAGGCCGTTTGTTACATTTAATTTGAGATAGAATTAAAGATCATCAGGCTAAGAAAGGATGCATATCACTCGGTTTTCTTTTAACACCTCTTCTGACGTCCGTAGACTGCTGCTGGTGTTGGGACCAACAAGGACGACTCGTGTTCCCCGCAGCGCCGCTTTCATCTCAAATCATGTGACTGTAATTCAACCACACGAATATTTAAAAGCAGCAGTTTTTATTAAACAACGGAGGAGCCAGTCTAGCTGTACAGAGTCAAAACGGTGGCATGACACACCGTGTGTGTGTGTGTGCGCGCGCAGTGTGTGCACGCGTGCTTCTATTATGGTGAGTCACTGAGATGACACACACTACATTCCACTTGGACTAAATAACCCCTTCACTATCTCAGTCTGGGTGTTTGTCTGCTCTCAGCTTCACCTCCTGCTGCACCTCCTCACCTCCGTCACCCGGGGTGGGGCTAAATCCTCTCAGCTATCACTCGAGTGTAAACACAGAACCACAAGTATTCCTCATGGCAGCCAAGGTTCAAATCTGGCGTCACAAACACACACCCTCTGCCGCTCCACGTGGATAATTCTTTTAAGGATTTCTCATGATGACCTAATGTCTCTCTCTCTCTCTCTCTCTCTCTCTCTCTCTCTCTCTCTCTCTCTCTCTCTCTCTCTCTCTCTCTCTCTCTCTCTCTCTCTCTCTCTCTCTCTCTCTCTCTCTCTCTCTCTCTGCGTGTGCATGTGTGTGAGTGAGAGAGAGAGAGACAGTCTGCATGTCTGCTGGGTTGTGTCTGCATGTCCGTTTGACACATTCTTTTACTAAAATACCAACGTCAGTAAAACAGCATCAAAGCTCTCTGGCCCCCTCTGGTGGTGATTTGACGAAGGTATTTTATTTCTTTAATGAACAGAAAAGCAAGCTCTTATTTTTAAACTCAAAGCTTATATTACCTGTATAGAAAACATGAAAAGGGTCTTTTTAGAAGTTTGTACAGCTATTATTACACACATTCCTTAATGTCTGTTATCTTGTCCAAAAAGTAGCTTTTAATGCAAAACAAAGTTCTTTAACCAGAAGACATTTGTCCTTTTGGGGTTAGTTTCCTGACAGAGACGACATATGAACAAAATAACGCACATTACTAGGGATGTGTATTGGTGAAAATCTGGCGATCCGATACGTATCACGATACAGGGGAGACGATACGATATATCGTGATGTGTTGCGATACATTTAGTGAAACAATATTAGCAAATTTTAGACAGAATTTATTGTAGAAAAATTCAATAAACAGTCCAAACTGATACGTAACATGTGAGGTACCTGAACCATAACAGAGGGGTTTACATTTCAGTGGTGGAAACAAACCCATTGCACACTGCTGTCAACTAGTGGTCGACATTTGAATTGCACCAAAAGAAAGAAAATACACAAATGTTTCCATGTAAATTCTTTCAAAACTGCAATACATGGCTTTTGAACATTGATATAAAATTGCAGGAAAGAATATTGCGATATATTGCCTTACCGATATTTTCTTAGAGCCCAACAAATTACACATAAAATGCATTAAAGCTCAAAATGATACATGAGAAAAAAAACTTATAATCTGTAAAAAAAAACAAAAAAAAACAAAGCAGACCAGTTTTAATGTTTGTAATAAACCTCAACACACCATGGGAAACTTAATGCACGTGTCTTAAGCCTAATTTATCCGTCTGCGCAGCGCCATTATCCATCCTTGCAAGCCTGCTGGATAGTCCTCGCAAGGATGGACGGAGTCGAGCTCTCTTTTCTAAACAGCCGTCCATCCAGACGAAGAACACAAGCTTGTGACTGATCAGGACGCCGATGTCGTCTACATCGCCACCATTGCTCTCTCAAAAACACAAAGAGAGCCGAGGATATCTAGCGGCACACACTGAGCAGCTTGAAGAACACCTCATTGGGGGGGAACGACTCTAAATAATGAACGTTTTATTCCCCCCGCAACTGGAGGAGTGAAAAAGCAAGCGTTTTATTGGTGGACGGGAATGATGGGAAACATGGGTTTAGAGGTGGCGAGCGCATCAAGAGGTGGAGGAGGATGAGGGACAAAATCTGTCTGTGTTAAAAAGTTTCTTAAATACAGAAAAACGCAATATAACCACACTATCTCGGACCGGATCCATGACAGGATGCCACAGAAGAGCGCTACGCCCTCTGGTGACCTGGAGGGGAGTTGCTGTGTAACACTCCCCAGGAGGCGGAGAAGTCTGAGGGCAAAACATCTCCGTCTGTGCGCGTCTCTCCCTGGTGGAGCTGATGGAGACGTGGAAATTAGGCTTTACTGTGGCGAGGCGTGGAGTTGAACCACGTCGTGAGAATTCAAAGGCGTAAAAGTAGGAGATGCGTGTTTTAGTGTTTATACTAAACAATTTGAAGATGAAGAAATGTTTTTATATTTAATTATTGGAAAAGTAAATCATAAGAAGATTTTTTGTGTTGTTATTTAAAATAATAATCTTAAATCAGATAAGGGTAGATTGCCTTCTCCAGGTCAGAGATAGGAGGATTGGTGTTGTGTCTGCAGTGATGCGGGCGTTGTACCGATCTGTCGTTTTGAAGAGAAAGCTGAGTCAGCAGGCCTTACCTTACTTTGCTCATCTGGACTCAGCCGAATATAAATTTTTACTGTTGTGTGTGTGTGTGTGTGTGTGTGTGTGTGTGTGTGTGTGTGTGTGTGTGTGTGTGTGTGTGTGTGTTTGCATATGTCTGTTAATGTGTTTTAAACTGTTACGGGAATTTGGGGTCATTTTGTAAAGCACTTTGTTTGAAAAGCGCTTTATAAAGAAAATCTGATTAAAATCTGAAGGTGAAGCTCTCGATTTACCAGTCGATCTACGTTTCTACCCTCACCTATGGTCACGAGCTTTGGGTAGTGACCGAAAGAACGAGATCACGGGTACAAGCGGTCGAATGAGTTTTCTCCGCAGGGTGGCTGGGCTCTCCCTTAAGCTGGGCGGCCACTGTGCGACTTTTTCACTCGTAGCACTCAGCTTCAGCTCAAACTACGACTTCCTGGCAGGGCAGATCTCACGAGCCATGTGCTCACACTGTACGTCTGGTAGCAACACGTCAGACCTAAAAAAATATGCTAAAATAGCCGTTTTTACACAACACGTCAGACTTTTTGGTCTTGTTTTGCCTGTTGTCCTTCGGGAGTGCTGTAGGAGGACACACAGGGATTTATGGGGGTTGGATGACTTCTAAGAAAGTAAATCTGTGTTTTGTGATCAGTTTAATTTGACATGAACACGACAAACACGCTTTCTTGACAATCCTTGTCACTGTATGTAAAAAAAAAGTTTAGAAATAAAATGAACAGCGTGTGTTATTAGGGAAATAGCGGGTGAGCGGTGTTGATGCAGGATTGCGCATGCGCCGTGAGCGGTTCTGGTACTTTTTGGGTTGCAGCCGCTTGCTGCGCCACTTCAACTCTCACGAGGAACGAGCAAAATATTAAACACTTCAGAAGTCCGTGCGAGCTCACGATTGCTGATCGGTAGCTGGTCACGTGGTGTTAATTGCCTCTCTTAACCCCCTGTACATTACACGACACTCAGCGCAAAACTCGCCCCGATCTTGTGGATTCTCGCACGAGTGGAAAATCGGCTCAAAAAAGGGAAAAAGTCGCACAGCGTACGCCCGACTTTAGAGGAGCTCCAGACCGTCCTCTCCCCGGCCACCTCCACCAGCTCCTCCGGCAGGACCCCAAGGCGTTCCCGGACCAGATTGGAGATGTAACCTCTCCAACATGTCCTGGGTCAACCCGGGGGCCTCCTGCCGGCAGGACATGCCCGAAACACCTCCCCGGGGAGGCGTCCAGGAGGCATCCTGACCAGATGCCCAAACCACCTCAACTGGCTCCTTTCGATCCGGAGGAGCAGCGGTTCTACTCCGAGTCCCTCCCGAATGTCCGAGCTCCTCACCCTATCTCTAAGGCTGAGCCCGGCCACCCTACGGAGGAAACTCATTTCGGCCGCTTGTATCCGCGATCTCGTTCTTTCGGTCATTACCCAAAGCTCATGACCATAGGTGAGGATTGGGACATAGATGGACCGGTAAATCGAGAGCCTGGCTTTCTGGCTCAGCTCCCTCTTCACCACGACAGATCGGCTCAGCGTCCGCATCACTGCAGACGCCGAACCAATCCGCCTGTCGATCTCCCGATCCCTCCTACCCTCACTCGTGAACAAGACCCAGAGATACTTAAACTCCTCCACTTGAGGTAGGACCTCTCCCCCGACCCGGAGTTGGCAAGCCGCCCTTTTCCGGTCGAGAACCATGGTCTCAGATTTGGAGGTGCTGATCCTCTCATAAGTTTGCAGGTGGAATGTGAAAAAGTGATCATTTAGGATCATTTTAATCTGTATGCATTAAAAGCAGTGAAAGAAGAAGAAACTTTGAGCTCAAACTGAACATAATTTTTTTATGATTCTTCACTTAGGGCGTTTTATGCTCTAACGCTTTATGTGGAGCTTGTTTGTCACGTGAGGCAAATGTAAAATATTGTGAAGAATTCATCCTGAGCTCCTCTGCTGGATTTTCAGCCGATTCTCTTTCTGAAGCTTTTTGTTTGTTTCTCCACACAAACTGATAAATTCACACTTTTGTAAACGGTCAACAAAACGGTAGGAAGTCAGATTTCTTCTGATTTCTTAAAACTCTGAAACTTAATGCGTTTTTCCCCTTTCGTCCCTTTCTTTCGGTTTCCCTCTGTCCTCTCCTCGCACCCTTCTTCCTCCTTCATCCCTCCATCCCGGTCTCTCCCCAGTCCAGACGACAGCAGGACCCCAGCCCTGGCTCAAACATGGCCAACGCTGACGTGGAACACAAGATGCGCTGACGGAGGAGGAAGACGAGGCTAGCCGTCTGCACTCGTTCAACACAATCGGCTCAAAGGAAACTTCAGCGGTTCATTTATAAAAGTTTGACCAAGTTATTTCTACATGCCAAATATTTTTTTACAATTTGAATGTAAGAAAAAAAAACTTTAAGAACTAAATTAAAGTAAAAAGAAGGTTTTGAAAAAAATAAATAAAAACAAAGAACTGAGGAAAATGTACGTGAATATATTTAAATGTGGGAGAAACCCAGTGGAAGAACATTAGTCAGATGTATTGATTCATGTTTATTCATTTAGGTTTGAAAGAAACCGACCCAAAAAAAAGGTTCTGGTTCAAAACTACTGTAGACTGATACGAAGGAGGAGGAGCAGAGGAAAGGGATTCTAGTGGCTCGGGGTCGCAGCCGGTTCACCTGCGGAGTGACGTGTGGATGGTTGTGTCACAGTGCCTCACGTCTGCTCACACGGCTGTGTGAACGTCCACCACGCCGAGCTAACGTCCTAAAACCTGCTGTTTTTCTGAGACCACAGTTCCCTTTGCATAGGATGCATTTAAAAAAGATGAGAGGAGAGAAAATCATATACACTTATGCCAATACGTAGAAATCTCGCTGTGCTTTATTTTATTTGTCTCAAGGCATAACCGGCGATGTAGCTTCGATGAATCCAGATTTTAGCTCCGGGTTCATCTGAGCAAACGCTTTAACCAGGAGGTCCAAATCTTCTTTCTCTTCTGAGGGACTTTTGCACTGTGATGCAGCCAGTTTTGTTCTCCGCAAAAGTAGGGGTGTAATGGTAAAGCGAGGTTTGGTACGTACTTCAGTATGAGGGTCACACATCGGTACATACATTTAAATGTTAATAAAAACCCAATCATACAAACAAGTGAAACTGGAAAAATTAGAATCTGGTGCAAAGTCCATTTATTTAAGTAATTCAACTAGACTGAGAGACAATATAAAGGCTCAGGAAGCCTTTGCAGGTGTTCTCTTTTTGCAGTTATGCATTTTAGTTGATTTGGGTCTTGTTTCACATCACAAAGTGACATTTGAATAATTAAAATGTGTTTTTTTATAAATGTAAAAGCTTTAGTTAACAGTAATAATTTCTATGTCTGTTTGATTCTCTGCCTTGTTTTTAATTTTAAAAATGACTTTGAGGGCACATTTCCCCGAGCGATTAAAATGTGATTAATAAAGATGAATTAATTACAAAGCCTCTAATTAATTAGATACATTTTTACTCAAGCCCCACCCCTAGTAAAAACTAAAAAAAAGAGATCATGTACATCAAGGCACAGTCAGCTGTTAACTTCACTATGAATAAAAAATAGCTTTAATCTGTCTGTTTTTATCTAGTCCTGTTGGGCAAGGGTCAAACAGGAATTTTGATCAATAACAGAACTCGTGACACGTAACTATTTGCAGCATGTTGCTCCTCACTTCTGCTACAAATCGACCTGAAAACATGTCCACATGCTGTCAGATCTTTAATCTTCTGCGTGGTGTTCTGCAGCCCGATAAAATGTGTGTCCGATTCTCAGTAGGAGCGCTGACCAACTCTGACTTACTCTCATGTAGCCTGTGCCAAACATTTGCACCAAACCGTGAGGGGATGAACACCTCTAGTCTTCACATATGTGATCTCTAACCCTACATTCATAGTAGCGCCTACGCATCTTGTTTTATACCCGACCGTTCAGGAAAATCTGGGTGACTCAAACGGCATCATCAAGCTGCTTGTTGCTAAAAACAGGTGGAACATTTCTGTTTTAGTGTTTTTTTTTCTCATGGTAATTCAAGGTTACATTAATGTTAAAACAATAAAAGGATGTCGAGAAGCCCGGACAAGCCCCCATTAATGTTCAGCTAGTGATGCATGGGGCTCATAATGATGATTATTCAAATCTGTAAATTAATTCATTTAACTCTAAAACACCATAGCAGCCACCCAAAGAGACACAGACCTGATTAAAACGGGGTCAGAGTAAATCCTGGTCTCACAGGTCCGGGAACCGCGATCAGTCATCCAGATCGTCCTCATTACCACCAGGCTGCTCTTCCCTGACCTGTTTCAGCACCAGTGATGTGAAACCAGAGGTTTTACGCAGTTTGTGTCTTGATGTTTACGTTTTATATTTTTACATTTTCTATATCTTTATGTTCAGCTTTATCTCTGTTACGAAGCTTCTGGGGTTTTAGTGTAAATTTGGGTGAACATTTCAAACCTTCGGCAGAATTCTGAGATGTTTGAGAAATTCTGTTGCTTTGACTTTTTGACTCTCATCAATGTTGTTGTTTTCGTTTTTGTTGTGAGGAAAAGTAATTTTGTTCTAAACCCACTTGTTTGTGGATGAACTCGGTTAATGTTACAAGCTCTTAGAGGTTTAGTTTAGTGTTCTGGACCCTTTTATTACGACTAAAATCTCTTTCATGTTGCTGTTCCTCCACGTCTGACTTCTTAATGATTTTACTCATTTTTATAAATGGATAACAAACAAGGATCTACATGCATTCATGGTAGTTTAAGAGAAGTTTTGGGGAAAATAAAATTAAGAATTCAGAATTTCAAAGAGTTGAATGCGAAATGAATCTGGAGCATTTCCTTTCTTGATCAGTTTATTCTGAATTTGCAGCCATGATGTCATCTCAGGGTTCTAAAGATAAACCATGTTTATTCTGACATGTTAATTTTCAGCAGCTTAACTTTAAACCAGATCATTAGTTTTCTCTCTGGTAATCTGGTGTATTTCAGCCCATAAACATCTGGAGAACTGCAGATTAAAGCGGGTTTTAATGTTTTTGAGTAATTAGGAGGTGTGAATGACCTGCTCACCTGAAGAGTGACTTCCTGTTAACAAAGTTCACTTCAGCCGAGCTGAGGGAACCGAGCGAAGGCTCAGGAACCGACTCACCACGTTGTCCTGTTCAGATTAAAGATTAAATGTGTTTAAAACAAAGAACGTTTTCATTTTGCAGCATACAGAAGTAAAACTGGATAATTTTCTATTGGAGCAAATGTGCAGATTTTCATATCCTGCCTGCTGTGAACCACCTCAGCTTAGAGAAAGTGGGATTAGCAAAGACCTGAGATCAGTTAAGAAAGCTTGACTCATAGTTTACTCTGGTTTATTTAACCAGTAGTTTATAGATAGATTTCTTGTGTTTACAGCAGTTGCCGTCGTGTCAGAATTTTAACAGTTGTGTAGCAGAATCAGCTTTTAACTGTTGAACCCAGTGTTTCTCCATTCCAGTGCTCAGGACCCCTGCGCTGCATGTTTTCCGTGCTGCCTTTTCAAACGCCCGTTTGCCTGCTGCCACACAGTGATTCACCAGCATCTGCAGCAGATTATGTCCTCACGAGGAGGCAATGTAAATCAGGTCATGGACAACATGCAGGTCAGTGTGTCCAGAAGACCAGGGTTGGGAGACACTGCGTCAGAGATCACCTGTCAGCTTGTGTGTCTGATGAAAACAGATCTCTGGTTCTCTTAACTAAGGCCCCTCATTGAGCTGTAGTTCTGAAGTGAGCAGATGTAAACAGACTCAAGCCAGCTTTTACTTCTTCTAATCCTAATCAAATGTTCTGCTTGAACTGTTGATCTCCTGTTTAAAACTCTGACGTGTAGCTCCTCTTCTCTTGTTTCTTCGTCTGCTTCAACCAGAGGAGGCTGGTCTGAGTTTTGTTTCAGATTGTTGGATGGATAATAAACATGTATCAAGTCCTGCACGTGTCTGCTTTACACAAACGCAATTACATTTATAATCAGTAATCTGCGCTCCCGCACAGGAGGAGGAGACGCTAATACACTGTAAACCCCGATAAGTTCATTCTACTTAAAAAAAAAACAAGGTAACCCGTTGCCTTAAATTTTTTAAGTAATGAAGAATTTGTTGAATTGATGCAGCTGAGTATGTTCAATGTACTTAAGGCCTTAATGGGATGAACTTAAAGATTTAAGTTGAATATACAAATAAAAGTTACATTAAGATAATTAGTTTAACCAATGCCCCACCATCCATTTAGTTAACTCATCAAGATCAAGAAAGCCTTACTCAGTTACTTATCAAACTACATTGTGCATTCTAACTCAACAAACGTAACTTTTATAATACATAAAAATCTAAATATAATATTCAATCCAAAGAGCCAAATAAATACATACAAAGTATTTTATTAAACATTTAAATCTCAAATAACACATTTGTCCATGGAATGACAATAGAATAAAGAACTGAAGGGTACAAAAATGTCTGAGGTTTAGTTCAATTCAATTCAAGTTTATTTATATAGCGCCAAATCACGACGAGAGTCGTCCCAAGGCACTTCACATAAACATTCCAATTCAGGTCAGTTCATTAAGCCAATCAGAAATAATGTTTCCTATATATGGAACCCAGCAAAATGCATCAAGTCACTGACTAGAGAGTTGTTGAGATAATTTACTATTTATGTATTATTTATTGGTTTCCAGGGCCTGTCACTTACGTTTTTGCCCTGTTGTACATCATCCACTTCAAAAATAATCCAAACAGGAAGGGGAAGCTCAAATGCAAACCTTCAACAATCGAGCACCAACGGAGGCTCCAGCTCTGTGCAGACACATCTGTGAGTACTTTAGTGTTTTTGTTGAACCAGAACAGCTTCCAGACTAACAGCTTGTTTCTGACTGCATTTGTCCTGCTGACTGCACAAACACAAGGCTTTTACACTGCTCAGGATCATGGTGAGTTTACTTACTTGTTTCACCTCTCTTGGTGTGTCCTAAGGCAGCTGTGGCTACATCGTAGATTCATCACCATCGGTGTGTGAATGGATGAATAATACACTGTAGTGTAAAGTGCTTTGGAGTCCTCTGGCTCTGAAAGGGACTATACAAGTGCTGATCATTTATCATTGTTCATAATTTACTCACATAGTTGTGATACTTCTGGGAATTGCGTTAGTGTTAGGGTTTTTAACAGCCAAACCACAAGTTCAGTAGGAAACCACCTAAAAGCATCACGTGTGTGCTGGCATCTCTACGCTGGCTCCCTTTAAGGTGCTAATTCTGGTGTATAAGGCTCTTAAGGGAACTGCTCCACCTTACTTTGAACAAGCATGCTCCATCAAGGGCCCTTCGCTCAGCTGACAGGGAACTGCTAGTAGTTCCATGTTCTAGGTACAAGTCGGGGGGGGGGGGGGGGGGGGGGATCGTGTGTCCTTGGTGTAATGGAATGCAATGACTGTTTTTTCCCTCTTCTGCACAAGACTAGTCTGCATGAGATATGGTCTCAAGGTCTCATGCATTCCTTCTAACCTGCATATTTTCAGCTCAACAAAAGAATGAAGAATGAACTCTTTTCTTTTAATTAATCAAAGAACTGTATTTTAATAAAGCTAATTCATCAAAGTGTTAGTCAATAAATAAGATGTGACTGATCTGTAAAATCAAATTACTAATTACTTTATTATAATCCTATAGAATATAAAGGTACTGTGACTTTAAGTGTTCCAACAGGACTCATTTCACGTAGCGTTAAAAGACATAACACATTACTTTCACTGATCCAATCAGAATCTGACAGATCTGACGGAGGCGTGGTTTTGACGGTGTTTGGTAATTTTTCATTCGACAATAAACCAAAACATCTGAAGTATAAAACTTTGCCACGTCAGCTCTAACGCCAGTTCAAGGCGTTCCAGAGAAAGTGACGGAGTGGCCAATCCTGATCTATACTCTTCAACTAAAAAGAACCAATGACAAGCTGAAAAATTTGTTGCTGTTCAAACTGCTGCAACAGTTCCTTTCAGAATTAAAGCTGAACCATCAAGACCCAGGCTTGGGTCTCACTAGACGCCAACAAATTGTCGTGACCCGGACGTATCCCAGGACGGGTGGTCAATTGCCGTGGCTTTTTCTACATGCTTCGGCTCTAGTCAAAAGTCAAAAAGTCAAAGTCATTTATTGTCATATTCTCCACATGTGCAGGACATACAGAGAAATGAAATTCAGTTTCAGCACACACAATTCAAAGATCAGACATACGTGGGTAAGACACATAACAAGAATTGGTGACTGCGGTCATTCGCAACATGAGTCGCGCTACCTTAATAGTTAAATGAAAAGGGTGTTACATGAGGGAAGTTCAGGGAGGGAGAAAAAAAAGGCATTAACAGGGTTACACCAGCAGGGTGTAGCACTCCAATGCAAAAAAACACCCGACATGGAAGCACAGACAGCACGTATACAACATCAGAGTCCGATGGGGAGGTGGGGGTGGGCGGGATCCTGAAGCCTCCAATGGGAGCTGCCACTGCGGCGCATCGACCAGCTGCAGACCAACAGGTGGGAGGGAGAGATAAGGAACAGAGAGCACATTGAAGTCCCTGCAGACATGTCAGCCTGAAGGAAGAGGGTGAAGGTCGGGACACAGCATCTGTCGGCATTCCTCCTTTTGTGGGGGTGTGTTGAGGCAGCCTTGAGAGGCTGCTATGGCGTCAGATAAGGATAAATATGACTTTGTTTAGGGCAGGCAGAGATAATCTTCCTCTCCGCCTTGGAGTCTTTAAGTGGTCATTCATGTCCACCAGTGAAGCAAATTTTATATTCCACATCCCCGCATCGTCCAGCGACCCTCTCCAAGATCAAATCCATCTTGCGCACTAACACAGGCAACGCCGCAAGGACATTGTCCAGCTTACGGTTCACCTCGAGTAACGTCCCAGTCTGTGAGGTCACCGCACGAGCGGCTCATTCCGTGGGTACGAGTCGCACTCCAATCGCTCCCGTCTTCCCAAATTTCCAGAAAACCAGATATCCTCCCGCTCCAATCAGAAGAAATCCAGTGATCATTAGGCCGAATATCCACAAATCTTCCACGTCCTCGATGGACAGCTGAGAGAGGCACACGATTCGCCAGACCTCCCAAGAATCGAGTGCATATCCCGATGCGAATGTCCCCTCGGGACAGGTGGGAGCCCCCTTCTCCGTTCTCATCGTAGAGAAAATTTTGTCAATCACGTTGAATGACCAGTTAATTAAGTCCATATTTCCAAAAAAAGAGTAGTGGTTTCAGGAGAAATGCAGAGAAGTGCTCTGTAGGCAGACAGGACAAGAGCCTTGGGGAAGCCGATAAGGGAGCTGAGAAAAAAGCGTCTGTACTCTCTGAAGGCTGAGAAGCTATAAGGTCAAGCTGGACCTTTACACCTCCTGATTTAGACGGGGACTTCCGCTCAGGGTATGTAGACTGGCAAATGATGTCTCATGTGTTTATGGACCTCCTAACCAAAGCTTAACGTGAAGACATCACTGTAGCGTTATTAAGATCCTATTGTCTGCCCTTAACAGCTGCCCCTTCACACAGTAACAACGTGTAGGAATTGCCAAGGTCGGATGCTGATTTCAGTATGTTAACATTCCAGGAGAAGAGACAGAAGAAGAGAAGAAGAACGCTTTCCATTAATTAATCAAAGTACTTTATTCGTGATAAAGCTAATCAGAGCATATGTTGATCATTAATAATCAGGTGAATGATCTGTGAAATAAAGATGTCATGAGTTATGTGTTTAATGAATAAACAGGACTGCACCAGACAAACTGATCTGCATTGACATGGAAACGCATGACACATTGTTCTCAACCAATCAGAACTTTCGTCTGTCGTAGGGCAGAATCTGGGTTGTTTAATGAAGTTGTCCAATCCGGTTTACTAAGACTTGTAAACAACTAGGGGATATTAAACAAGGCAATGCCATTTTATACTCAGTTCCATGTTAACCTCAGCTCTGTTCGATCTGAGCTCCAAAGGAGTTCCATCATACTCTCAACGTAGTTTTCAACCAGCTCTCGATCCATCACCGCAAAAGAGAGGTGCAGACTGGCCAGCTGCACTTTCCTACTTTAAGCTGAGAACTGTCAATCTGGAGATTTCCGTCATTTGAACAACAAGACGACGTTCCTTCAAAATAAGAGTGAACTCGCTGACGCCTGCCGCTGCTACCGGAGTCGACCCACAGACGGGCTTTGTAGTGCTGCGACCGCTGTTCCACCAGCTCCAGCACATCTGAAGGTCCGAGGACCTGGCAATTCCTGATCTACACGGGAGGCTCCACTGGGTACGTGGTTACGGCAAAATGGCGGCTCATGTCATCAGCTTCTGAAGCCTCGTGGTAGCCTAGTCATAACAACCAGATTCGCTACGCCAGCCTAGAGATTCTGAAACACACTCACACACACACACACACACACACTATAACTTTCAAATCCATATGCATTCATCATTGAGATAGTCCTGGTAGATTGTAAGAATTTATAATTATAGAAATTAAAGATTCTTAAACGATTCCAACTCTCTCTTTTCTTGTCTCTCAGTCAATACAGAGTGTTTAAAAACTCCCTGATGATAAAAACAACCACTCCTGATTATAATATTTAGATCTAATTACAGTGTATAAATATACAAACTACAGATCACTACATCACCTTCATTTCCCATCAGAACTAATCGCTTCTTTGGATTTGCTGGTTCTGAACAACATCACACGTCATCCATTCACAGTCTCATCCACATTAGTTACACCATACATTTAGTGTTTAAAGTTAGTCTAGTTTAATTTGTTTTTAATAAATTTTTTAAATTTTAAACTTGACTCTCTCTCTTCTGTTGTCTCTGAGTGAATATGAAGCGGTTATCTAATGCCTGCATTAAAAAGTTAAAATGTTCTGGTTTAAAATAACCTCAC